GTCTGCAGAGAGACATGAGAAGGAATAGCCCCTCCTCCCCACGTTTGGAAAGTTGTCATTTGAGGATAAGAGATTTTATCTTATTGTGATCATGAGGGGGAATTGCTGCCCAGGGACTCCAGGTGGCAGATGGAAGGAGTCTGAATTTCCCCTGACATTGTGGAGATGCTACACTAACCTTGGGACCACCCACCTTTGGACTTCAGAATGGCACGGGCACAGAGCCATCCCGCCCCTAAAGGACAAGAAGTCAGACCCGGAGAGGCTTTGGGTGTGGGTGACAGGACAGAGCAGTGGATGCCGCGCTTGTGGACGAATAACTACGGGCCAGTCCTGACTGAGGAGGTCTGATGAGCTCTGAAATCCAAACAAGCAGTCCCTCATGGGGAGGAGATGTGCCCAATACCTCTTCACATCCCCGAAGCAATCCAATCATTTCCTTTAAACATGGACATGACTGCAAGAGAGAGTGGGGAGGGTAATCTCAGAATTGCCTCTGAACTGAGGGAGTTTACCCTGAACTGACTCAACAACATGTGGAATTGGGAGGTGGCCCAGAAAGCTGACTTATAGAAAAGCACATTATTTCTTTTTTTATATATTTGAATATATGGACAGAAGTACCTTTCCTTCTCAACAATCCTCTATCTCAAAATACAAAACAAAAAACCAGTCTCACCTCAATCCTACTCTCCTCTGAAGTTCTCCATCCCTTTTTCCCTGTACTGCCAAACTTTTGGAGAAAATGGTCTATCCTGGGGCCTCTGTTCTTTGAGATCTACCTATTGCTTATCCCCTCCTCATCTGACATCTGGCTCCAGGCTAATAAACTTGCTGTCAAACTGGTCAGTCATTCAGAAAACAATTATTGAACTTATACCTTGAGTTATGACTTTTCCTCTTTCTGACTTACATAAGTAGCTTCAATTGATGACTAAAGAACCTCACCAATGTTCTACTGACCCTTCAAATGAGTCTAAAGGCAAATCATTATCTCCCACCCCCCGGCCCCGCCCACCCCAATCAGCTTAACCTCCTGTCTGTGAGCCTCCAACAAAGTCAAAACTCCTGGGTCACCTTTAATTTCCTCCCACCTCCTGTTCTCCATCTAAGTCATTTCAAGTCTGTTTACATTGAGGCCTACCACAGAGGGTTGATGTGAAAGCCCAATAAGTCAGATCTCTGCAGTTGTTAACTAGAAGTGTGCTTCAGAATCACCTGTGTTAAACACAAAAAGATAAAAAACAAACAACCTAAAAATGATGCCCCCAGTCCCACCTCAGATGGGCTTACTCTGAATGTGGGGCCCAGGCAATATCAAAGTCTCCCTCATCTGTGCTCCGTGGACAGATCAGAAGGGACTCCTGCCTTGTTCTCCGGTTGCTTCCTGGGTCTGCCCAGCCAAACAGGAGCTGCTCTGCCCTGCCTTTCTCCAGGGTCTTCCTGGTGTCCGGCCCAGGGCTGGAATGCAGCCTAGTGGGTTCCCTACTGATTGGGTGGAGGGTGCTTCCCAAATGCTACAAGCAGATGTACCTATAAGAAGTCAGGAGCCGCTGTAATGCTTCAGAACACATGTTTGAGCCATTCTGTTTCTTTACATCAGGGATCGGGGACTCGTGTACCCTCCCTCTGACAAATCAAAAGCCCCTCAGAAACTGGTTCCTGCACTTCAGGGGCATGTATACTAATCTTACAGGTGGCTTCAGCTGGGAGCCCTCCTGAACTAGGAAGGGTCCCTGAGGCACAAAATTCATTCAATGGCTCCCTCATTCAGGCTGACTCAGGACTCAAGGATCCACGCAGTCAGCTGGTAGGGCTAGGTTCCCAGTGGTCATCAGTTAATCTGCTCACCCAGGTGGCATCCAGTTGGGTATTTTATTCAATCCTTCATTTATTCCTGCAGGCCTCTGTCACAGAACCATTCACCCAACAGATATGTACTGAGACCCTCTAAGTGCCCGATACTGTCTTCACACAGGAGGCAAAACGGATGATAACACAAGGAACACTGGAACCCTGAAACCTACCAGGCTGGTGTTGGGTGGATTCTCAGGAGTTCTGGGGCCTGGAGATCAATGTCAGGCACCCGGCTGAGCGTCACTTCCCACTCTTCAACTCTTCCTGCTTTGCTCCTTTCGGTGGCTGGAGCTTCCAAGCCACAGGTAGGAAGATCGAGGCAAGGATGAGGTGGCCACTGGGGAAAGGAGAGACAAAAACAACATAGCGGGGAGTGTGGTGGGAAAGGAGCGTGGCCAGGAGCATTTATCCAAGTGGCTACCTTCATTGTCTTAGGGACAGGGTCCGGGAGGGAGGACAGATGCTTCGAGGCGGAGAAGAGTGGGCCAGCCGCCCGGCGCAGGGGAGGAGTCCGCGGGGCCCGGGGGCGGGAAGTTTTCCTCTTTGCGATGCCCGCCTTTGTGCCGGGCTCTCGGGGGCCGCGGCCGGGTACCCCCGCGCCCCTCTGCCCATCACCCTCTGCAGCCGGCAGGATCGGAGAGGCGCAGGCGGCCCTGGCAGCCCGGTCCCGGAGGGATGCGGTGGAAGGGCGAGCGGCGGGCGCCGAGGTGGAGGGGACGCTCGGTGCCGCGGGCAGCGGGCCCTGCCATCGCAGCCCTTCTGGGGGTGCCCCTGGGCCCAGAGCCGGCCTTTGGGGAATCTTGGCATCCAGGCGCCGGGAGCTTTTAGCGTTGAATTTAAGGTTCGCCCCGAGTTCTGGGGCTGGTTTTGCGTGTTCGCCTTCGGGGGATGAGGGTGGCTTGACTGCTCGGCTGCCCCATGTGCCCACCCGGGCCATGTTCCCAGGGGCCAGAGACCTTATCTGGTCACCATGGACAGCGCACCAGGTGAGCGCGTGGATGTCAGGTTAAAACTACTGAATGAAGTGTTGGAAGAGGCTGGGTTGGCCTGCGTTTGGCATCTTGGCACCACTGCTTTATTGGCTCAGTGCCAATGGAAATGGAATCACGTCCACGAAAGCTGGTTAAGTTAGATGTGTCGGAAGCTGGATGCGCATTAGTAGAGCCTCAACGGGAGTGTGTGTGTGTGTGTGTGTGTGTGTGTGTGTGCGCGCGCGTGCGTGTCTTCTGTCATGTCCGACTCCGTGACCCCATGGACTGTAGCCCACCAGGTTCCTCTGTCCATGGAATTTTCCAGGCAAGAATACTAGAGTGGGTTGCCAGTTCCTACTCCAGGGAATCTTTCCGACCCAGGGATGGAACTGGCGTCTCTTGTGTCTCCTGCATTGTCAGGCAGATGCCTTACCACTGCGACACCTGGGAAGGCCCGTATTCAACTCTACTGATTGAAGAATGAAACTTTAGCCCACTGGTTTTGTTTATGGAAAAATGGTAATGATTTTCTACCAGCTTAGCTTTTGAGGCGATTTTTAAGTACAGCCTTAATTATGTTTGTTTTCAGTTGGCATGGAGCTGAAACTACGAAAGGTTTCCAGAATGTAGAGGATAATTAGTTTGTCTTTGTTCTTATTCAGAAGTAGGGTAAGGGACTTACTGTGTGTCCCTACTAGGGAAATGAAAAGAAAGTATTCTCAGCTGGTGTCTTGAAAAATTCTCTCCAGATCTTGACCATGTCTGCAGCTTAGAGACCCACGGTTCTTTCACAGTTAGTGTAAAGGTGATCCTGGAAAGGGCTGCTCCTAGATGCAGAGTTCTTTGGTCAGTTCTCAGCTTGCCTGCATTTTAGAATTACTCCCAGAGCTTTCAAAAATCCTTGAGCATCAGTATTTTTATTTTTTTAAAAAGTAATACATCTCAGATTTTAATCTGAATCAGAATCTCCTGGAGGGCTTGTTATCACAGGTTGCTGGCCCCCACGTCCAAAATCTGCAATTCAGTAAGTGTGTGTTGTAGCCTGAGAATTGATGTTTTTATCAAGTTTCAGGTGTTGCTGAAGCTACTGTGCTCCCTGTCTTCTCTCTGTAGATGTGGGAATGACAGGTGAGAGGCAGGTAGGAGCACAGAGAGACAGTCACTTTTTCAGTTCAGTCAATGTGCGGCAGGTACATGGCATTGTGAACATATATCAAACCTGGGCAGTGTTGCCTTTGGGCTACAGTGGACTGCTTTCTCTATTTTTGCCCCCAAAGAAATTTCCTCTTGAGAGAAAAATTGGTTCTAAAGTTGAGCAAAACCAGAATCCTCTCCAGTCATTCTAGTAATCCAGAAAGTAATCCAGAAAGACCCCCCCCTCTTTTTTTTTTTTTAACAAATGTGGAACGTAAATGTATATAAAACATGCAGATATTTTAAAAAATATCTGCCTGGCAACGTATAATGTTCACAAGAAGAATGCCCAGACAACATGCCCTCTGAGGGCAGATTCCAGAGGAAGAATGAAGGCTCTGAGGGCCTCACCTTGGCTTTCAGAGAGGTGTGGTGAAATGGGAAGGATCTTTGAGACCATCAAACTAAACCCCCCTTGGGCAATTCATATTTTTATTTTTATAACTCAGGTTTATGAGATCTTAAAAGGTTGAAACAATTGGGAGGAACTATAATAGAAAAAAAGGAGACTAGTAGGGGAGAAAAAACAAACCCAAACTCTGTTAGTATGAGCAGCTTGGTTATTATATAAAGTGGTGGTACTTAGGTATTTGACCTATGTTTCTTGATTTTCTCAGTAACAAGTATTCCAGATAGTTTTGTGTTTCCAGATCATAGAGAAGTATTTTTCTCTTTTTCTTCCATCTGTGTCACTTGTTCCATTATTAGTACTTGCCCTTATGAGTCTTTATTGTTAAAGTCACTGTAACCTGTTTAGAAGTGTAATTTCTTAGGAACAGCCAGGTATGTTTGGGCAACGTTGGAAATATGTAATTGTATTATGCCCTGGAAATCTCGGGCCATTCTTGGGTGGATGGGTCTTTGGGGCTGCTGTGGATGAATATTTGGTTTCATTAGGAAAACTTCTAGTCCCCATCTGCTTGCTCCTGGTTTACTGGTTGGTTGTGTATCATTTTGGCTGGGTACATCTGCAGGTTACTACCCCACAAGCCATTCCTCTTCCTGCTTACTGGTCGACAGCCTGCACTTGACTTCTTCCCCATCGTACTTATCCCAGCAGTGATTTCCACTCTGCCTAGTCCTGGAGGATAGAAGGAAGAGACAACAGGGGAGGGAAAAAATCAAATTTAGGCCCTACATAGGTGAAGGTCAGCAAGCTCTGCCAAATAGCTACTTAAGATGTTTAGGACTTGGGATGTTGAGTATTTAAAAGAAAATTGCTTGATTTTAGTGAAAAGAAACTCAAATTATTAAGTAAAATTGTTTTCAGTCATAATTATTATTAAACAGATTACAAATAATGCCAACTAAAAAACAGAGACAAAAAGAGTTAGAAAATGACTACTTTGCCACCATCATAAGTAAGTAAGTAAGTGTTAGTTGCTCAGTTGTGCCCAACTCTTTGGGACCCCAGGGACGGCAGCCCATCAGGTTCCTCTGTCCATGAGATTTTCCAGGCAAGGATACTGGAGTGGGTTGCCATTTCCTTCTCCAGGGGTTCTTTCCAACCCAGGAATCGAACCCAGGTTTCCTGCACTGCAGGCAGATCCTTTACCAGCTGAGAAAGGGAAGCCCATTCACACCGGAATCATCCGTGGATGCTAAACTATTGTGTGAAAACCTGAAGACCAGAATATTTACATTTTGGGGGAATTTCCCCACAGATTTCTTATTAATTGCACAGGGGAAAATGGTAATGTTATAGTGCAGAAACGTGGGGTTCACTACCTTAACCAAACCATCAAAGTTAGTATCACTAGTTAGTAATAGGGCAGGCTGGTAACCTGTGCTGCCTGATCCAAAATCTTGAGAAGGATAGAGGGTTTTCTGCCAAAAATGGGTACCCTGGTTCTCATCAGGGGGAAATATCAGACAAACCCACATTTGGAGACATTCCACAAAAGTGTCATGAAAGATGGCTGAGGCACTGTTCTAGAATGAAGGAGACTAAAGAGATNGAAGGATAGAGGGTTTTCTGCCAAAAATGGGTACCCTGGTTCTCATCAGGGGGAAATATCAGACAAACCCACATTTGGAGACATTCCACAAAAGTGTCATGAAAGATGGCTGAGGCACTGTTCTAGAATGAAGGAGACTAAAGAGGTAAGTAAATGCAATAGATGGTTTGGATCAGACCCAAATCAGGAAAAAACGCTACCAAGGACAATATTGTGATAATTGGGGAAATCTTAGTATGGATTGTATGTCGGATAATAGCCTTGTTGTACAGTCACTGAGTCATGTCCAACTCTCTGTGACCCCATGGACTGTAGCACACCAGGCTTCCCTGTTCTTCACTATCTCCTGGAGTGTGCTGAAACTCATGTCCATGGAATCAGTGATGCCATCCAACCATCTCATCCTCTATCACCCTCTTCTCCTCTTGCCCTCAGTTTTCCCCATTATGAGGGTCTTTTCCAGAGTTGGCTGTTCGCATCAGGTGGCCAAAGTATTGTAGCTTCAGCTTCAGCACTAGTCCTTCCAATGAATATTCAGAGTTGATTTCCTTTAGGATTGACTTGTTTGATCTCCTTCCTGTCCAGGGGACTCTCAAGAGTCTTTTCTAGCACCACAGTTCAAAAGCATCAATTCTTTGGCACTCAGCTTTCTTTATGGTCTAGCACTCACATCCATACGTGACTACTGGAAAAAACATAGCTTTGACTAAATGGATCTTTGTCAGCAAAGTGATATCTCTGCTTTTTAATACACTGTCTAGATTTGTATACTGCTTTTTAATACACTGTCATAGCTTTTCTTCCAAGGAGCAAGCATCTTTAAATTTCATGGCTGCAGTCACAGTCTGTAGTGATTTTGGAGTCCAAGAAAATGAAATCTGCCACTGTTTCCCCATCTATTGTCCATAAAGTGATGGGACTGGATACCATGATCTTTGATTTTTGAATGTTGAGCTTTAAGTCAGCTTTTTCCCTTTCCTCTTTCACCTTTATCAAGAAGCTCTTTAGTTCCTCTTCACTTTCTGCCATTAAAATAGCCTTGTATCAATGTTGAATTCCCTAAATAGGATGTTTTTACTGCAGTTGGGAAAGGACTGTCTTCCTTAGGAGAAATTGGACTCTTTAGGGGTAAAGGGACATGATGTCTGCAGCAAAATCTCAAATGATGTAGGAGAAAAACGTTCACATGTATGTGTGCACTTGTGTGTGTATGTGTGTTATACAAGGAAGGAGAGAAAATGTGCCAGATCTTAGCATTTGGTGAATCTAGGAGTTCTTTGTACTATTCTTGCAAGTCTTCTGTAAATTTGCAAATCAAAACATATGGTTCCATGTAAATTTTAGGATTATTTGTTCTAGTTCTGTGAAAAATGTCATGGGTGATTTCCTGAGTGTTCATTGGAAGGAATGATGTTGAAGCTGAAACTGCAATACTTTGGCCACCTGATGCAAAGAACTGACTCATTTGAAAAGACCCTGATGCTAGTCTATGGGACCGGGACCGAGATCGTGACCTTGTATAATGCCTCCGAGAACTTCTTCTGGATCTAGACCTAGATTCAGATCTGGACCTGGACTTTGATCTGGAACGCCTGGAATCTTCCTTGGAGCGAGACCTTGCAGGGATATGCCTTGCAGATTTCCCAGATCCATGAGCACTTCCACTTCTGGAAGCAGAACGGGATTCCCGCTCGCCGTAGTTCTGCTCGCTGCTGCCGCTCATGACTTCCACTGCTGTCACCGCTCGATGTGCTTCAATCGAAGCTGCCAACCTCTCGCGCCTTCAGTGTGGAGGCTCCGCCGTAGCCTCGCACTACACACCGGTTCCCGATGCGTTGAGAGCCGAAACGCTCCGCGCCGCCTCCGCTTGGGCTCTAAGTCTCTGTCATAGCTTTTCTTCCAAGGAGCAAGCATCTTTAAATTTCATGGCTGCAGTCACAGTCCGTAGTGATTTTGGAGTCCAAGAAAATGAAATCTGCCACTGTTTCCCCATCTATTGTCCATGAAGTGATGGGACTGGATACCATGATCTTTGATTTTTGAATGTTGAGCTTTAAGTCAGCTTTTCCCCTCTCCTCTTTCGCCTTTATCAAGAAGCTCTTTAGTTCCTCTTCACTTTCTGCCATTAAAATAGCCTTGGATCAATGTTGAATTCCCTAAATAGGATGTTTTTACTGCAGTTTGGAAAGGACTGTCTTCCTTAGGAGAAATTGGACTCTTTAGGGGCAAAGGGACATGATGTCCGCAGCAAAATCTCAAATGATACAGGAGAAAAACTTTCATGTGTATGTGTGCACTTGTATGTGTATGTGTGTTATACAAGGAAGGAGAGGAAATGTGCCAGATCTTAGCATTTGGTGCATCTAGGAGTTCTTTGTACTATTCTTGCAAGTCTTCTGTAAATTTGCAAATCAAAACATATGGTTCCATGTAAATTTTAGGATTATTTGTTCTATTCTGTGAAAAATGTCATGGGTGATTTCCTGAGTGTTCATTGGAAGGAATGATGTTGAAGCTGAAACTGCAATACTTTGGCCACCTGATGCGAAGAGCTGACTCATTTGAAAAGGCCCTGATGCTGGAAAAGATTGAGGGTGGGAAGAGAAGGGCACGACAGAGGATGAAATGGTTGGATGGCATCACTGACTCAATGGACATGAATTTGGATAGACTCCGGGAGTTGGTGATAGACAGGGAGAACTGGTGTGCTGCGGTCCATGGGATCACAAAGAGCTGGACATGACTGAGCAACTGAACTGAACTGAATTTGATAGCTCAGTTGTATCTGCCTCTTTGCAGCTGCGTGGAGTGTAGCCTACCAGGCTCCTCTGTTCATGGGATTTTTCAGGCTAGAATACTGGAGTGGGTTGCCATTTCCTCCTCTGGGGCATCTTCCTGATCCAGGGGTTGAACCAGTGTCTCCTGCATTGGCAGGAGGATTCTTTACCCTTGAGTCACCTGGTAGGGATTGTGTTAAATCTGTGGATTGCTTGGGTAGTATGGCCATCTTTTAATAATATTCAGTTCAGTTCAGTCGCTCAGTTGTGTCTGACTCTTTGTGACCCCATGGACTGCAGCATACCAGGCTTCCCTGTTTATCACCAACTCCCGGAGTCTACTCAAACTCATGTCCATCGTGTCAGTGATGCCATCCTACCATCTCATCTTCTATCATCCCCTTCTCAAAACAATATTAATTCTTCCAATCTAAGATCATTGGATATCTTGTCATTTCCTTGAATCATCTTCAATTTCCCTTATTAATGTTTTATAGTTCTTAGCATACAATTCTTTTACCTCCTCAATCAGGTTTATTCCTAAGTATTTTTCTTTTTTTAGTGTGATTTCTAAAAGGAATTGCTTTTTTTAAACATCCCCTTTCTGACATATATATGTAACTGAATCACTTTGGTATATGACAGAAATGAACACAATATTGTGAATCATCTATAGTTCTACTAAAAAAAATAAAAAAAAACAGTCCTGGGATGTCAATTTTTAACTCTAGGCATTTTGGTCTAATACTTTGGAGTTTACTTATTGAGTAAAATAATATTGAAAGACTTAATTCTGGACTCCTAATCTGGTCTGAGATGATAATGTTCACGAAACTTTTTATTGTGGAAAATTTCATATACATATGAAAAAACCGAGAATAGTATAATGAACCCAATGTACTCAGGTAACCCAGCTTTAAAAATTATCTGCATTTTGCATCTACCTATCTTCACATCCCCCTTTTAGGTGCTGTTTTTGAAAGCAATTCCAAAGTATCATGTTATTTCAACCACTGATGTTTAGTATGCCTCTGTGTACACTTTTTTCTTCCCATAACCCCCATGCTGATCTCACACTTAAGAGAAATAATGATTCTGCAGTTAGTGATGATAACGTTTAGAAATTGTTAGCAATGCAGGATAGTAACCAGAGTTCTGAGAAATGCTCTGATTTGACATGTATGGGTTGTGCATTTGTTCTAAGTTTGAAAAGTTGAGGAAGGCTGGATAATTACAAATGGTATAGAAGAAAAGGTATGAGAAGCTGCTTGTTCTTGCTTTGTTTTCCAAACACCTCCTCCTGTTTTTAAACCAATAATTAAATTCCAGAAAAAAACATGAATACGGGCATGGAGACAGTGTTCTGAACTGATTTACCCATTTGATGCTACCCTGATGAAACATTCTGAAAGTTAGAATGATTAATTTCATACTATCTAGAATTCCGTAAGTTTAAATTTCAGCATGGCATCTTTGATTTAGAAAGCCCAGTGAAGTTTTTCTTGACTGAGCTGACTTTCTAATGTTTTGAAATAGAAATGGGCCAGATCTCTTGGGAGGAGTAAATCTCCTAAGTGTGGGTAAATGTGGATGGCAGTTGTTCTTTTAGGTCCCTAGAGTATCATTTAGTAATTAACTACTATTATTTAGCCTTATGGGTTGATTAAAACATGTCAAGCCATTTGACAATTGTTATCTGTATGTTAAAATGATGGTAAAATTGATGGATAGATCTTTGTAATAAATTAGGGCAGTTTCTGAAGCTCATGTATATTGCAAATAAACTTCTTATCAACCTTTCGTTAAGGGACTATACACAATTGATTTTAGGCACTTTAAATTTAAGCACAGATACCATCCCTTTACATTAGGTTTTCTTTATAAACTTTTCTTTTTTTTTTTTGCTGAGCTGTGTAGCAGGCGGGATCTTAGTTCTCCAACCCAGGATCAAACCCATGCCCCCTGCATTGGGAGTGTAGAGTCTTAACTACTGGACCGCCAGGGAACTCCCTTCATTAGATTTTCTCATTGCCAGAGTATATTATTTTTGAGAGCTCTGATTTTAGGAATGCACTAAGTCACATTTTATACTTTAACTTACAACGGAGCAAAGGTTAAGAGACATATAATGATTTCATCCACCCTATTTGAAAGAATTTCCCTGGCTTACATACTAATATATTTATACACTACCTTAATTATAATCTTTTTACCAGTCAAAGTTAGATTTTCAATTGACTTAGCTCAATAGAAATTTCGAGATTGAGGAACTCAGTGTAGGATGGTGGAAGACAGCACAGACCTAGCTTCAGAGCTACCCACGTTTCAAACTCTGGCCCTGCCACTCACCGGCTATGTAACCTTAGGAAGTTGTTTTAACTTCCCAGAGGTTTTGTCTTATTTCACTTTGAAGAGTTGCAAGAATTAACTGAACTTGTGCACACAGTGGCCATTAAATATTTCTCTTCTCATTCCCTACAACATTCTTCCTGGAGTGTGTACCTTATGTTACAAGAACAATTTGACTTTCAGAAATGGAGTCGCCAGTCATTGATTCCATTTTTCCTTGTGAAAAATATAAGGAAAGGAAAGGAAAGTCGCCCAGTTGTGTTCGACTCTTTGCGCCCCTGTGGACTGTAGCCTGCCAGACTCCTTCGTCCATGGAATTTTCCAGACAAGAATACTGAAGTGGGTTGCCATTCCCTTCTCCAGGGGATCTTCCCTACCCAGGGGTCGAACCCGGGTCTCCCACACTGCAGGCAGACTCTTCACCATCTGAGCCACCAGGACTGCTGAAGAATATAAAATGAAGACTCCAAGGAAGAGACTCGAGGAAAGATCACCCGAAGGTACAGAACTCAGATTTTAAATAGAAGTGTTGATGGGCTTCCCAAGAGGCTCAGTGGTAAAGAATCTGCATGCAGTGTAGGAGATGTAAGTTCAATCTCTGGGTCAGGAAGATCCCCGGGAGAAGGAAACGGCAACCCACTCCAGTATTCTTGCCTGAGAAACCCCATGTACAGAGGAGCTTTGTGGGCCACAGTCTGTGGGTTCGAAGAGGACGTGGGGACACGACTGAGCAACTAAACAACAACAACATTAGTTGTGATGTGTTCGTCTCTGACGCTTATCATTTTGCACAAGTGTGATGTGGCACATGGGCTTGTGCGTGTGCGCGCATGTACAGCTTTTAACAACTTGTGAGGTTTCAGTGCTGGTATTTAGAGAGGTCCAACAACTACCGTTTTTATTGGCTCTTGGGACCTCTCTGGCCATACACAAGGGGCACGTCACAAAGCCCAGAGCAGTCCCAGGAGCCAATCAGCAGAGAGGATCCCAGAATCCTCCTGGATTTTCAATAAAAACAGTAGTTGTTGGCCCTCCCACCTACAGAGAGCTGATGTGCTGTAGGAAGGATGGCAGTGGAAGACGGACAGGAAAGGTAATGTTTGACCTTTAGCTATAATTGGGAAAGTCATATCTGAATGATACGCTGCTTCAGGGAGCTTGAAATAAGCCGAAGTCTGCATGCTTAGTGAATTCATTTCATGAAAGCTGTTACAAATTTATAAAAATTAAAACAGCCAAAGTCTTATTTTGGGGAGTTGAAAAGTAAAGGAAAACAGGACAAAGTTGTGAAATTTGGGTTGAAAGCTGGTGAAGGACACAGAGTGAGAAAAATAAGGGGATGAGAATTGTATCAAAGAGAAGCTGTCCTCTCTTGAGGGAAAAAGGATTTTAATTTCATTAAGCCTCCTTGCTTGTGTGTGAGGCATTACATGGGGATAAGAGATTATTTACAGTTTAAAGCTCTATATGCTTGTATTGTATTCTCTTACCAGTGATTTTATTCATTTTAAATCCTTGTTTTTGAGATAGTAACAGGGTGACAGATACCTGAAAACTGGATAGTTCCTGACTGGCTGAGAGTTTTGTGCAATGACAAACTACTGTTTGAATTCTTGCTTTAAAATTATTGACTCTTAAGTTAGAGCTTAGAAAATGAAACTATTCTAAAAAGGTTTGCCTGATGGAAAGTATTGATTTTGATTGCGTGTCTCTTTCTTGAAGCTTGGAATACTTTCATTTTTGGTTGCTA